TGCTCAAGGACCCCCTGTGGTCATTAATCTTAAACCAACTTTATTGACTATAATATTCTTTAATTGAATGCTGACTCCACCCTTCTCTTAAAGGCCCAGTAGGGGCTGCAAAGGGTCAAGTGTTGCTTCAGTAGCATAACCCATTACCTGCAATTGGCTAGGCTAAAAACATGCCATTATTTATTCTGTTGAAGCACACATTTTCACCTTTGTCATGGCTCAAAAACTCCATTCATAAACTAATATGGTCTCATGTTGAACGGGAGCATCTACAGATGAATGACTTCACCGTTTGTTATGATCCACCAAGGTAAGGTATTATACAAAACTAATACGTTTTGACTTTGACATGCTAAGGAAATATCAAAATGTCTTTGATAATAATACCCACAGCACTTCTTTGATCACACCAAATTCATCTCCCTCCCCATTGTGAGCTGTCATTAGCTTTAGCTCTGCGTAAAAGTGTGAATGCTGGCCCTGATCCTGTGTGGGGTCTGATAGTGATGGATGAATTGTGTACATAGACAGGGCCCCCGGTGCGGCCGAGATAAGGAGCCCAGAAGAACAAGCAGCCGTTGCGAGGCCTGTCTGTCATTGATATCGCTGCTATCCACTGGCTGTCCAGTGTACATAAACGCTTCCTCTGGTGCCCCCAGGCAATGATTAGCTCGATGACGGAGAAGGTCCAGCTTAACATGACCACCGCATCACGTTAAAACCACGTAGGCCTACCTACAGCTTTGGTATGGAATATCTTTAAAAAAAATTGAAGACATAATAAGCATCAAAGCCATTTTAATTCCTTGTTGTCTTAAAATGTGGGTTAATCGAACTGAAAATAGAGTATTTTGACAAGAAATTAGACATGGGAGAGTTTTATCTGAATTTAGACAGTACGCTTGTTTTCTTACCTTCACTGTTAAGCTTTGTCTTTAGTCTCTGTTCACAAAATCTGTAAAACAAACCAAGAGTCAAAAACATTATTGTTCAAACATATAATCTTACATGTTTTAAATATAAACATATTTCTGGCATCAAGCACAGTCCGAACCGTTACAGTGTTGAAGAAATGCTGTGTTCTAAGACTGAAGCTTTCATCATTCACTTATTCTCCAAAAGAATTAGAAAAGCAAATAATCTTCTATAGAAATGTGTAATTGGTTAGCATTAAAGCTTTAGGATTCATTATTAAATGTATTGATTTTCATCAATGGAAACCTGATAAATAATAACAATTATTTCTATCAGCACTTTAATCAATTATGCCTTTACCATGAATCAGCGAATGGTCAATAAACAACACCTTATAATGGAAGGTGTTTTATAAGCACTGTTCCCCCCTTTTTGGGGGGGGAGAGAATGATAGCTAACATAAAAGCAGAACGTGTTATGCAATCGGTATAAATGCATTATCTGTCCCAAGAGAATTCCCTATAATTAACTCCATTTTGAAACTCGCACTGCAGTTCAATAACGATGGAGATAAAAGAACACACATGTGCCAAACCACATTAAAATGAAGACACATCTTCACCAAATTGACAAAACATAGGCAGCGTTAACTAAAAGCGCTGCATAAACAAAAAGCTGCAAATAAGAAGCTCAAAACACAACAGTTTTTTATTTGCAGCGTTTTTTTGGATGCTACACTTTTACTAAACGCTGCTCATGTGTTGTCAAGTTGGTGAAGATGTTTCACATTGAATGTGTTTCAGCACATTTGCATTTTTATATATACACATCGTTTTCAAAAGTGCAGCGCGTTTCTCCTAATGGAATTGTTTGGGGCTGTTGTAGCGCGTTTGCACCTGTCGGCCACCATACATATCCGCTGTTTAAGTTAAACACCTCGTTTTCTAATCTCCATCCCAACCAGCTGATGTGTTTTACCATCCTCCTCCTCAATGAAACCCAATGATGTAAAACCAGGGGAGCAGAGGGGAGGAGTGGGGGTTCTGCGGAGGTTTATGGCGACTCTGGGCTTTCACCTGTCAGGACACAAGTGACAGTTATTAACAGCAGGACCCGAAATGAATTCTGTCAGAGAAAGAATTGCATTTTCATCCCGAAAGCCGCCTCCATTTTGCATGGAAGAAGAATTACACCTCTACTCGAAAAACTGCAACCGTCTGAAAAGTTTTATATCAGAGCGTAAGCATTTAGTGAGACACACAGCAGTATTTCATGCGTTTGAACTGTGTGTATTGATTTCATTGCATAACTCCGTGCAAATATAATAGTTTAAATGCTGCTGCAGTTACAGAGAGGCTTCTAAAACCAAAAAAGAGAATCTTATTTCTAATTAAAAAATGAATGTAAGAACATACACAATTAAAGATGGTGGCAGACAATGTTGCAGACTCCAGTAAAAAAGCTTAAGGCTTACTGAAGAAGAAAATCAACATTTGTAAAAGAGTGACTGCTGTGAAATTGCGTACGGGATGCTGTGACGATGTTTACTCTTTGTGCGGGGAGTGCAAGGATAGACCTCAGGATTAAATGCTAGGGTTTTGACCTCAATCAAGGAAATAATTACTGTTGCCCCTCCTGTTGGTGTACTCCATAATTAGCAGGCAAAGCCCCCACAGAAACACAATTAGTCTGAAAACAGAGGTGATTAAACTATAATTCTTATAGGGCTCGTCAACATCTTTTTGGCGTGCCTGGAATGCTTTATCGAAATTGTTGGGAAATTCAATCCTGGCACATTCACCGCATAATTCTCCTTAATAAATTCTCTCTACAGAATGCATTTTGCCCAATGTCTACATCCAAATATCTGTCAGAGGAAGTGAGATATGGTAATAGAATAGAGGGCATTTGCTTCAAGATAAGTCAAGTGTGACTGACTTCATATTCCTCGAGTAATGAAGAGGATTCATGATTGGCATCACTGATAACAGCTATGGATCACATAAGCTCTAACACACACACACACACACACACACACACACACACACACACACACACACACACACACACACACACACACACACACACACACACACACACACACACACACACACATATATCACACACGCATACACTTCAAAGTGTCTTCTTTCAGTGTTCTATAGTGCAGTGAATCACCATGTTTCCTATTATATTCTCTCACAAACACACTCTCACACAAACACCGATGCTGTTATCTGTCATCACCACGGTTGCCGCTCCACATCCAAAAAAAAGTCGATACTGATGCAGCACCCACTCATTGTGTGTGTGTGTTTGTGTGCTTTCTTTTCTTTTGTGATTAAATGGGACTGCAGCAATGAGGGAAGTTTGGTGTTTTTGCACTTTCAGTGTTTTTTTCTCAAATTAAATGGCTTGATTACAAAGTGTCCTAGCTTATAATGGAATTGCCTACCTATTCAGATGCACTTTAAGGCATTATCTGCACATCTATCATGTTTTTTTGTCAATATAAAAAACTGAGCACCCACTGAAGGATTTATATTTTCAGTCTAATGTGTCATGGATTTTGTATTTATCATAATAGACTCTATGCCAATGGCTATTTAAAGCGGTTTTTATATCTATATCTAATATCTGAAATACACTAGTTCTTTGAAATATGTCAAGCTTATAAGGTTTTGTGATAATGACCTATAATAACAATATGAACCCATGGGGAATTAACTATAAATTAAATAATATATAATATCATGTCCAAATGAAACATTTTCCATTGTTTTTAATTCAATATCACTTTATTAAGTAAAATATACATTGGTTCCCCTTAAAGCAAGAGGCAGGCAACACCATTGCTTTCACTCGCTTTTGAATTTTGACATTTTTAGCAACTAGTGGAAAGAAAACTTCCAAAATACACATTTAAAGGTGGGGTAGGTAATTTTGGAGAAACCGGCTTGAGATCGCTAGAATTTGAAAATACACAGCCGGAAAAAATCTCCCACTTCCTTACAGAGCCCCTCCTCCAACACACGAACGCGCACATGACCAATGAGGGCACGAGATAAGTTTGTGCACAGATGGAAGGCTGACAGGCAGGTAGGCCATCCAGTTATTTTAGCCGGGCCGGCTAAAATGATTGGTCGTGCTTTTTACAGTATTACGGCTTCCACAGATGACATTTTTTTATGGATTTTTTGTCAAAGCACAAAAAGTGTATCTCGAGCAGGTTTCTCAAACTTACCTACCCCACCTTTAAGTGTTTATATAAAAGTCATCTTTAGATAATGCCTAAAAGGCATGATTCATGGTGTCAGCCTATTTATTAATGCCTCTCTTTTAAAAATAAATGCTTCATTCAGCATCTGTTTTCACACCTATTAAAAAGAATAACCCCCTGTCTACATGTGATTATTTATTCCGTTTTTTGTTGTTTTTTTGTGGTGGCTTGAATCAGCTGAGATGAGAGTAACACCTACGTCACTTCCGGGCGAAAATTACGACCCCGCCCACTTTTTTGGGAAAACAACGCTGTCATTTGAATGGCGGTCAAATTCTGAAGTTTTTGCCAATCCGATCAGAAATTTAAGCAAACCGTTGATTTTTGGATCTTCAAAAAGCCCGATTACGATGGCCAGTCAGGCAAACAATTACATTCAATCATTTGAAAGCGACGATCGGGCTCGATATAGGATTAAATGAAAATCAGTAGGCGAGGCCGTCATTTCGCCAGCTGTTACTCTCATGAGCGAGGCGGAAAATAATTGTTTTATCATGCCAAAAAGCTGCTGTGTCGTTTATTGCACCTCAAACATTAAAACAAATCCAGAGTTACGTTTTTCTGTACTTCCTCTAAGAAAAAAGGACAGTAAAAGAAGAGCTCTGTGGCTTCAGGCTTGATCGCCATTCAAATGACAGTGTTGTTTACTTGTTTTCCCCCAAAAGTGGGCGGAGCCGTCATTTTTGCCCGGAAGTGACGCATATATTACTCATCTTGCTTGAATGGTTACCAACCAATCACAACGCGCGGCTGTATTTCCGTAGCCAATCAAAATGCACGTAAACACAGCGGGACATTCTGAATTCAGACACGGAAGTCTGTCACATTTGTTCAGTGTTTGTTGTTCTGATATTTCATTATCTCTTATCTGTTTATCAAAAATTAAACATAAAATACGTTGAATATTGTGATATATGGTGTTTCAATCAAGTAGGTAGCAGATTCAAGTCGATTCACTGCTGGTAATGTAGGCGGAAGTTTTGTGGGTAAGTTTGAAATCATAATAACGTATCGCTTCCCGTTTCAAACGCCTGGTTGGCTACGGACAGCGCTAACGTTACTAACTTCATATGGTTTTCATGGCACTTTTGAAATGTAAGTCTTTTGTATGGTAAATGTATGGGTAAATTCAATTGAAACACAAAAAACAGGTATTCATGTTTGGGGAGTAACGTTAAGTTGCTCTAGCAAATAACGTTTGTTTTGAAGGGCAGCGTTGGGAATCGCAGCTGCTTTTAATGAAGCTAATGACGCGAAGCACGTTGATATCGTTAATATAATGTCAGTCTTTTTAAATATTGTTTCCAGCTACTTGACATTTAACATGTTAATACTGGACTGTCATTTTTCTGTTTTGTACGTTAACGCTACATGCAGAGATGGAAAAAGTACTCAGAACTTGTACTTGAGTAAAAGTAGAAGTACCAGAGTGTAGAAATACTCTGTTACAAGTACAAGTCCTGCATTCAAAATCTCACTCAAGTAAAAGTACTAAAGTATTGGCATCTAAATATACTTAAAGAAGTAAAAGTACTAATTTTGCAGATTGGCCAATTTCACAATCATATATTATTATTATGTTTTCATTATAATTATTGATGCATAATCACTAATAAGATAATGTGTTTATCAAGCTGGTAAAGGTGGAAGTCATTTTAATTACTTAATGTACTGCTTGATAACATGTGAATTTAATCCAGGTGTAGTGTAACTAAAGTCCCTTTTCAAGTGTTTATCATATTGTCTATCATTAATCTATGTCTGCAAAGTAACTAAAGGTAATAAATAGATGTAGTGGAGTACAAGTACAATATTTACCTCTGAATAGTGGAGTAGAAGTAAAAAATAACATAACATAGAAATACTCCAGTAAAGTTCAACTCACTAAAAATGGTTCTGATGTACAATACTTGAGGAAATGTACTTAACACTACTGGCTACATGTCATTTTTGTCATGCTAACCTTAGCTATTTTATTTCCTTAGCACTGACGTCAGGCTGCAGCCCCTGGGGGAGATGGAGGAGCTGTACACTTTAGAGAGGGAGGTGGGGAGAGGCAGCTATGGCGTGGTGTTTGAGGGCCATATGGCCAAAACAGGACAGAGGGTGGCCATCAAGCGTCTTCCCTGCAGCAACCCTGAGTGCATTGAGCTGTACCTGCAGGAGCTGTGGGCCATGAGAGCCACTGCCAAGAACCACGTCAACGTCATCGCACTGCACAGCTGCCTCCTGCAGACCGGGCCAAGGAGCCTGAAGCCCCTCAAAGCAGGAAAACTGCCTCCACGTCTGGTTGAGAGTGTGCTGAAGGGCAGTGTAGTCAAAACACCACAAAATCCGGAGGGGAATAACACCCAGCCGAGAACTAACACTGTCTCAAGACTTCAAGACAGGACCAACACTGTGCAGGCCAGACCTACGCTCCAGGACAAGACTAAATCTGACTCTACGACCCCACAAAGGCCTCACAACAGATCCAGGAAGAGGCCGTTTGAGAGCGAGGAGGAGCAGCCGGGCCCCCTGAGCTGCCTGGCCCTGTGGCTCGTGATGGAGTACTGTGACGGGGGCGACTTGAATCAGTACCTGCTCTCCAGGCCGCCGGACCCCCAGAGGAACCACAGTGTGGTGAAGCAGCTCTGCAGCGCTGTGGCCTTCCTGCACAGCCTGGGCATCACACACCGGGACCTGAAGCCGGACAATGTGCTGGTGTGTGTGACGCCCAGAGGCCCCATCGTGAAGGTAGGCTGACTGAGACGTGACGATGTTTACGTCGGATCATGTGGCATTATGCTAGTGTCAGAACACTATATCAGAGTATACATTTTTTAAAGGGGATGTTTGGTTTTCACTGTAGCAATGACCTTGAGACACAATAAACAGTAACATTTAAAAAAAGCAGTTTGAAAGAATAATTGAAGATAAAATACAGAAAAAGTAATTATCAGGTCAGGTGAATGTCTGGAGTTTCAATACTTAAAAGAGGAATATGATGAGTTAATTGGGTGTTGTTTTCAGAAAGTCTCATTCTCTATCTGGGCCCTGATGCAGATTGTTGGTGGGGTAAATCCTTTATTTAAGTAGAGTTTCACTGATTAATCCACTATTTGATCAGTCGATAAAACAAATTGCTAATTATTTTATTATCTATTAATATTTAAAGTAATCTTTCATGTAATATATATATATATTATATATAGCAGGAAATACCTCCTAAATAAGGTGTTCCTGCTCTTCTCTGTTTTATATGAAATAACAGTAAATACTTTTTGGTTTGGGAATCCTAAGGACAGGGATGGACATTTTTCATTATTGTTAATGGCCACTTGATAATTGAGCACTCTACTAGACAATAATCTTCAGATTTATGGATTACAAAAATAATCATTTGTTAAACCCATCATTTAAAGCAGGGGTTCCCAACCCCCGGGCCGCGGACCGGTACCGGGCCGCAGAGGTGTTACTGCCGGGCTGCGAAATAGCTGTGAGTTTATCGTAATATTTGCAGAATTATAAATACATACAAATATTTTATCATATTTCTTTCAAAAAGTGTTTCATTTTCGCACCTATGCCAGTCATATTATTTAATCCAGTAGCCTAGTTAAACTTTCACCAGAAAACAGTTGAAAATGGCTTTTATGATGTTCCGAGGGATTCGGCGGCTCAGCTTAAGGTCTCAGCCTCTCGTGCGCACGAGAAAGTTACCGGTGCGCCAAGTAGGAAGAGGAGCACACAGGAGACAACCGTTTCATTGCAGACTGTTATGTTTATGTGGGGAAATGGTGGTGCATACATTATTTGAGATATATTTCAAACTCGGACTTCATTTTAAGGACATGTCGGCCAGGGGTTTAGAGCTATTTGTTTAAGCATCGGATTGGCAAAACAGGAGAGTAAACCAGTCTGCCTTGATCTATGAATTCATGTCTGGGACTCTCACGGTATCTGCTGCCCGCAGCTGTTTTATAGAAGGAAACCCTCCTTCACTTCATGAAATGGCTGCAGCATCAGGAGGCAGCGGGACGTATACTCCGCCTCTGAGAAGTGCAGCACCAGCGCACCGAGAGCTGTGCCTTTTTACGCACCGCCTTCACTGTGTTTACCTTCTTCAGAACAGCTTAAGAGTGACTGCAGGCTGCTACGTGTTAACCACACACACCTCTACACACACACACACACACACACACACACACACACCTCTACACATATCGAACTGCCCGATTATTACTCGTTTTATGAAGGAGATGTCCGGTCACCAAGGAGCATGATGTGTGTGTGCACCGGAACGAACGACACTATCATAATATCTTCTGAAAACAAATGACACACACACACACACACACACACACACACACACACACACACACACACACACACACACACACACACACACCGGACTATTATTTTTTTTTTTTAAACGTTAATATGTTTTGGATGCATATTGTTCTAGTATTTGTTCAGGCTGTTACATACAATTAGTCTCTGTTGCTACCTGCTGGTGAGTAAATATTCAAATCAGTTAAAATTGGCAACCGGTCCGCGATTTTTTTTTAATGTAACTGCCGGTCCTTGGCACAATAAAGGTTTGGAACCCCTGATTTAAAGGACTACATTTAACACAAAAATATACAGAATGTATATTCACCCAGGCAGGCTGACAGCAATACACCTTATAGTTTCTGATTCATTCTCTGTTGACGGACTAATCCATTATTAAATGGAGTTTCAGCACTACAAAGTTAAAATGTTCACATATTGGAATGTAGCTTAGTATCTAAGCCTTCCTTTGCAAATGGTTACATTAATCAGTTTCAAAAGGAAAATGAATATTTAACTCTTACATAAGTCATAACCTTTTCTTTAATCAGTTTTACCAACCCAAAGCACACTGTATTTCTTTGTCATTTAAATGTATGTCTGTCCTACCTGTAGGTGGCAGACTTTGGTCTGAGCAAGATGAGTGGGGGGGTGGTGGACGGAGAGCTGACCCGGCAGCACTTCTCCTCCACCTGCGGCTCTGATTTCTACATGGCTCCAGAGGTGTGGGGCGGACTCACCTACACGGCCCAGGCTGACATCTTCTCCCTGGGGGTGATGTTCTGGGCCGTCCTGGAGAGGATCACCTTCCTGGAGGAGGGCGCCACGCAGGAGCAACTGGGTAAGAGAAAGAGATGAGAATACCTGGATACACATCATATCCAAATGTAAACAGATGTATCAGTATCTTCATGTTTATGGGACGGTGTTAACATGTTGGGTAACACACCAGCATGTCAGTGTGAATCCTCCTCACCTGTCAGAGCACTCACACAAAGGTCAAAGGTCCAGTGTGGTCAGGCAGGTTGATGACGCATCGCTCCCAATTCAGATTGACTTCATTAACTGGCACATATTAAAAAATGTCACATGCTATACATCATACATTCATCAACCATGGATGAATCGGAGATCTAAATGGCAACGGGACGGATGATTTATACTATGTACATTTTGATATCAATTATAGTAGCCTTGTTTCTTCTAATACGAGCAGACGTGTAATACAGCTTTCCCTTTTCCGAAAGTGACTAATTTAAATTAAATGAAGGAGGCCCTATTGTGTTTTTGTGCTTTTCCCTTTCCTTAGTGTGTTATGTAGGTTTGTGTGCATGTAAATGGTCTGCAAAGGCTACAATCCCAAAGTTTCTTCCAGCACACGCAGTATGAGAAAAGTAGAGCTTTTTGAACACTACATACTGAAAATGACCGAATATGTCCCCTTTAACTTTTCTTTGCTTAGAACTTTGAAATAGTGAATTAGACCTATAACGTTCACAAAGTTCTGACCATTTTCAATAAAATAGAGAAACACTGTGTCATCAGAACAGCATTGAGATTTTAATCAATTTTTTAATGTCCTGTTTTCTGCCCAATCCCCATGTGGCCACAGGATGACTAAGGGTCTTAATGGACGCAAGGCCCCGCTCTGCTCCGCGCTCCACTGAGAATAATGAAAGGGCTGTTTATACAGATGTCTCATTTTATTCTGTAAAATATAGCCTGAGCCGACTTGAAGGCAGGGAGATATGAACCATTATCTCCAAGTTTAGTACCTGAGAACCTCCCTGAGTCATTGATACTCCATTAGGCTGAATGGAATGGTTACGATTGGACGGAGAGAGGGGTTTCAGGTGGTTTCAAATAAAAAAGAAAGAGACCAAATGGAATTTAGCAGCGCTGAGCACAATCCTCTTTGTCAGTGAGAAAATAGGCAGAGGCGGCTGGAGCCTTTTCACAGACAGATAAAATGGTCCATTATTTTACTTTATCCTCTCTAGACCCACACACCTATTTGAGTAGGCATGGGAGTGGAAACACACCTTCCTGTGTTTGTCCTTCTTGAAGCCCGGTGTGTGTGTGTGTGTGTCCCCTCAGTGTTCAGGCCAGAGATCAGTGCTGAGGAAGACATTCACGACATATGTGTTACTAACAGGGCTCCATTCAAATACATGTCATCTCCTGTGACTTTAGGGACAATTGCATTTTAATTTCACAGATAATCCTTTCATTTATTTTGGGTAGCAACTAATGATTTTCCTCCCCTCATCAATCTCCTCATTTTTTCAATAAATCATTTAGTCTCAAATTAAGACAAATTACCAAATCAATTTAGAGTTTTTTTTAAACTATTCTTAATTATTCAGTTCAGCAGCCAAAACCCTAGATTATTCATTTCATAAATGGTGAGTAAGAAATGAGAGAAATTCATCTTAGTAAATCAACTTTGCCCAACTTCTGAAGTCTTATCAGGCAGATCAGCTGATGTCAGTCAACATGATTGGCTTTTCCAATCCAATACTACAGTGTCTGTACAGATGGAGACAGCAAAAGTTTTTTTCAGAAATGTAATGGCTGTTTTCTCAACAGCTGTGAGCAATACTTTCATTTCCTGTGCAACCGTGTGGTTTCGAGTATATTTCACTTTTTCAGTTTGACCACAAAAAACATTGTTGTAATATAGAAGTGCCCACTTCAGCCGTTAGTACAGTCCTGGGTCAACTTGAACTTAAGGGTGGAGGTGTACCATGTGCTTGGACTAAAGTTGCCCTGTATGTAGTGTCTCTCCTGGGACATGTCTCCATGCTTTAATGTTCAGAAAGCTCTTTATTTGCACCTCTTTTCACCCTCTGTCTGAAACCAGAGCGCAGTCTGCTCTGATTGGTTAGCTGGCCAGCTCTGTTGTGATTGAGGGATGTCCCGCCCCCTTAGCCTATCACAATGTGTTGGAGCACTAGCCAATAGAAGCACGAGTGTTACATAATGATGCCACTATGTTCTGGAAGTAAACATAGGAGTCCAATGGAGGCGTTTCAGAAAGGGGGGGGGAAAGTGTGTGGGGGAGAAACTCGCTCTGGACACAGGGATTTTAGCCTCCGCAGACCATTTACATGCACCAAAACCTATACAACACTACAGGAAAGGGAAAACCCCCAAAAGCACAATAGGGCCTCTTTTTAACATTCATTAATAAAACAGAATTCTCTATTATATCAAGCAGGCAGTGAAAAAGTATTAAAATTGTATAGAAGTATATAAAAAAATTACCCTGCTTCTCACTTAATTAATTTCCTCAGTAAACATAGTAAGCACATTATCCCGCTTATTACATGGCCACATTCTCAACAAAGTAACGATATGACTCCCAATATTAATTGAAATGATTTTATTGATTTAAAAAATAGTTGTATTGATTTAAATTGACATGCATCTGCTAAGAAAAATAGTCCGTTGTTACTGTTTGAACTAACGTAGCAATGGCAGGAACTGCTTCGATAGCGTTTTTGAGGAGCTTTTTGATTACAGATTTGAAAACATCGTTGCTTGCTTTGAAAGTAGCACAATTCATTATGTCAAACCTTGGAAAGTATCTAGATATCCCTGCCCTAATGCCAAAGGAACTGGCAACTGAATATGTGTCGCCGTCTGATGTCTATGTCTGGACCGCTGCGTAAAAAGGAGGGTTTCTGCCCCGTTACTTCTCCGCTGTTTTCTTGTCGCTCTTGTCTTGTCAGTTAGAAAAGCAAACTGCATGCAGTTTGCTTTTCGGCCAAACTGTATACAGTTCAATCGAACGGACTTCTTTGTGCAGATGTGAGCGTCCTTAACAACGGTCAATAAATCCTTGACAGCGGTCTGTCTGTTCTGGATTAACAACGTGTCACGTGTTCTGAATTGACCAATCAGAATCGAGTATTCAACTAAGCCATGTAATAAGCAGGAGTTAATGGTCTCAAATGTACAAATCTCTCCTTAATGGCATCACGCTTCAATATTTTGAAGGACATTTTCAAAATGTAAGTTAAAACACTTTTTTTATCCTTGAAAACTGAAAAGTACTCTGCTTTGTTGACAATTCTTAAAATATTTCCACACAGTAGGCACTAAACTTGTTAAGTCTTCTGACAACCCGTGACATGAAGTGGCCCCCTGCAGTCGGCCGGGAACTCCCCCTGCATGATGACCTCAGTGTCTCCCCCCGTGTCTCCCCTCTAGGTGCCTACGTGTGTAAGAGTCGCTGGCTGATTCCTCTGGGGGAAGCTTTGTGGGAGAACAACGACCTCCAGCTGTGCATCCCTATGAAGTTTAAGAGAGCCCCCCCGCTGCCACCCCCCCCCCGGCCCGGCCATGTGCACCCTGCTCTCAGACATGCTGGCCTCGGACCCGGACGCTCGGCCCCCGGCGGAGCAGCTGGAGGCCAGAGTGCGCTCGGCTCTGGAAGAGGACTCCCACTGACAGAGGGGCACTTAAGAGACCCCAGAAGCTGCTCTCAGAACAGCCACTACACGGAAATATGGGCCGCGGACCCTCTGACGTGTGTAAGCAATACCCACTTAGCTGCCACAGGGAGGTAGCAGAAGAAATATGTTTGACGACATTGGATGGAAGGTGCTTTCCTTGTCACGGAAACACAAGCTCAATGTCTAATGTTCAGGAAACCACAGAAAGGGAAGTCCACGAAACACGCAATGATATTCAAACAGGTCAATAAAGAGATCTGGAGGGAGTTGTTATTCTATGCTTGATGTAAGCGCCATGAAGCTTGACATAGAAAATCGATTTTGGTGTTTACATATGGCTGAAATGTCAAATGATTACTGCTCCGTTTTGTCAGGGCCAGCTGTGTTTTGGTGACTTCTGTCAGCTTTATTTCTTAATTAAGTTTGACATTACTTGTAGATATTGAGCCTTTTTCTGTTGAAAAATGCAGCTTATTGTACATTAAGGTGTTTCTTGATTTCTCATATATTTTCACCACACATTGATTGTTACATGGATCCACAACAAATATTCGTAATGCATTCCAACACTGTGATCCGTTAATAAATACTACTATTGTGAAACGGAACACATCTTCATTGTTTGACCCTTCAGCAGCTTGTCCATTGAACCCCATGCACATATGGTTGTAGTTTGTGGTATTTTATTACGATAACTAATGTGTAACAAGTGTCAAGCACAAGAGCTCGATCGATTTAAACTAATATACAAATAATCAAATAGTTAAAGATAATTATTTTTTCTGAATAAATGAAAATGATGTAACGTGTGTAAGAACAATTTACAAAAGAAAGAACATCTAAATCAGTTTTTTAAATTTTAAACATGACTTGAAAATGTTTCTTTTTATTTCGTTATATCACTTTTTTGCTCTAAGCTGGTCCTAAAGTTAGGATCGTTTTTGAAGTTAAGTCAAACTTTATTGCTGTGTGAGCATTAATATCTGCACAAAACCTTAGTGGGCTGCCTTCACTAATGTACTGTCCTCTTGGAGCAGGAAATGAAAGCAGGCTTTAGGGTTTGGGCTGATCGTATCCACACTGAGTCCACAGCATTTATTACTGGTCATCAGTCTCAGTCATTGACCCGCCACATCTTGGACGGCTACTTATTTTAGACAAGTTTTGCTCGCATGCAGTGTCCGGAAACTCTTTTTAAATTAACCCGAAATGGATAGGATAAGTATTAAAATGTTAAAAAAATCTTGCTTTGCAGTTTGACTGAATAAATGACTCAATTTAGGGTTCAGGGTTGGAGTAGAATACACTGAGAATCAACACATCTAGATCTTTTTTTACTCTTGGAAGTTGTGTAACCTTCAGTAGAGTTTACCTGAACTTGCTGTATTTCTGCTCAGTGAAGATTAGCCCAAACTAAATCAGCTTGGTACAGACTCAGCGTGTGTAGCGTGGGGGGGTGGTGAGGGGGTCCTTTCACATTTCAAAGCTGATAGCAGCAGTGAGCAGGCGTAGAGAGAGAGCCTGAATGTGCCTCAATGCGTCAGGACTGCAACACCAACAGAGCGTCACGACACAGGGGCCGCGTCCAGGAAATTACGCGTGGCCGTTCGGCTCCACTGCAGCTGTAATCCATACGAGACACAGGTCGCCCGAGTGTGCTTTATTGCGAGCTATTTCTGAAATGACAAACCCTTTCCAGTAACAGTGTGGCTGAACGCAGCATTCAGTCAGTGTTCAACAGACGGGTAACTGATAGAGATGTAATTGGAAAGGCTGTGTCAAATGAGCCAGTAAAACACTCTCATAGGGCAATCATCAGGGGTCTCCTGCAGGGGCCGGCCCCCTGACTTTGGAGAACACATTATAAGAGCCACTCGGACCATGTGACCTTTATTAAATGGCTAGACCTTTCAGGCTACTCTGTCATTAAGGTGTGATGATTCAAAGGTGGGGAGCATTGTAGCTCTCTTTGTAGAGCCTAAGGCCCCTGTACTGGAGCTCTGGAAGCAGTAATCGGTTTGAGTCAGAGCAGAGGGCCATTTACACGTCCTCCTTTCCCTCTCCAATAGAGTAGTGCAGGAATGAGTCATAAAACACGGGTTGGCGTTGGCATTTGACCAATTAAGACTGTCTTAAAGTCAACGGTTTCCTGAGCGTGTCTTTGGTTAGATGCCTAAAATAAGGAACCGATTCTCACGTTTTGTTCTACGACATAAAGGACATCAGTAAATATATCACATATTAATGTCTGAAGTTTCTAAAATTACTAAACGACATCATGCCGGAAATTAACCACCTTAAGCTTAGCCGTGGTGATGCTATGTTTGTTTTATAGCCTAGCGTTAGCATTCTACTTTTGGCAATTGCAATTATGCTTCAGAAATCGTAAAATTGGTGTTGACATGTGGAGATAATCCTGCTGAACAAAGCAACAAAACAAGTATCATAAACTTGTGTTTGCCACAGATGGCATTCTCTGCAATAATCCAAAATCAATTAAAAGAATATGATTAGCTTTTTGTTGAGGGAGCCCTTGTTATGCTAACTTCCAGGTTGGCCTACAACAATACGTAATCACTGCACCACTCTCTAAGGCAGCAGGGCCCAAGTCTGATGCCCAAGTCCATAATGTACATAAAAACATTTGTTATAAACTGTATTATTATTTTATCATGCTTTATAACAATATTGACACATTGTAAGCATTATAAAACTGAATGATAAAAATGTAATAATTACTTATATTTTTTTAAATGTGCATTATAATGTGATTAGTTCCATTACAATAAATTATGAAGATTTGATCCAGAGTGACCTAAAATGAGTTACTCTTAAGTGCTTACTGTAATCTTTAAGTACAACATGATACTTAAGGTCACATTTATTTTTGACCTACTCAAAGCAAACAACGATAAATAAGAGTAACTTAATCACATAATAAACAATATATTACAACTTTAGGAAGTATAAAACACCAAGACCCTGCTTTAAAATGTGTTATCATTATCATTGTAAAGCATTATGAATATTTAGTGCTTATAACTTTAAAAATACAAAGTTATAAGCAGATTATAATACATTTAAAGTATTTTTTCAATGCATTAAAGACATGGACTTCATAGAAAGTGTTACCAAAATAACCTGAAGAAGGACTTTATTCCTTGAGTGTGAGGAATGTGTTCAACATCTGGATTTACCAAAAGCCCGAGAATGCCTGACAGAAAAGTAATAGGATTAACTGTGGGGCTTTAAAAAGCTATTTATGTAACACTAATATTCAATTTTCTGCCCTATAAATCAAAATCTTGCAATTACACAACGGCTGCCCGACGAGGACACTTCCCGCACTTCATTCATCCACCGCCAACTGTTAATGAACGCTTGACTCGTAATGGCTTTTCTATTTAATTGCAACATAAACATGATTAGCTCAAAGCGTGATGCTAAACAGGTTTCTAATCCTCGACGAACACACAAACACTATTTAAGGGATACCCAGACATTCAGATTGTTCTTCACCAGACGTGTAACATCTGAGTAAAGAGAACATGTCTCTTGTTCTTATTTCTTGTCAAACTGAATCAGTACAGGAGTTCATTGACAAGGCACTGGTAGAACCCATACGTTTCAATGTGGAGCAGACTGACCTTTCTTTTACAGTAAATAAAGTTAGAAAATGAAAATGGAAACTTTGTACAGGAGATGTTCTGGCTTCCTCCCAAGTAACTTTATTCCTTACACCCACTCACACAGTCTCCTTATCTAAAATAAAGCGGTGTGTACCAGATAAAGAAAGCTGGTCGAAGAAAAACTGCAACCATTATCTCCTCTGATGCTTTCCCCAAAACATCAGCAGACATGTCCCGAGGCTATCGTGTGGATAAATACAATAATGTGTGTGCATGTGCGTCTGCAGCCAAAGTCCAGATAAAAACAGGGTCAGTCCATTCCGGGTCCATACAGGTCCTTCACCATGTACGGCCCCTCCAACTCATAGCCCATCTTCCTGTAGTAGTTCCTTGTTCCTACACCTGCAACACACACAGGAAAGAAGTTAAAGAGAAGCACCATTTACGATGTTATACCATGTAATAAAACCTTTTTGTCTTCATTTAATAGCAGAATGGGTTTAAAAAAACAACAAATGAGTACTTAAAGGTCCCCTATTATACTGTTTTTCATCAATATCTTATAGTTCTCAGTTATATACAAAACATGTCTCTGAAGTGTTTGGCTTGAAACACCAAACAGATCATTGTCGCTTCCCATAATCCCCTCTGTTTCAGCCCTGTTCCAAAAGTGCTGATTCTGTGTCTGTAGCTTTAAATGCTAATGAGCTGCTGCTGGCCACACCCCTCTATGGAGTGATTGTTTTGAAAGAAACACAATGGGTGCGTTTCACTTCGGTTAAATGGATTCCTTGCGTCCCTCACTTGCGTTGTTTCCCTGTGACTAGTCCCTCCCACCAGGGAAGCATGGAGAGACGCAAGGAAACCACGAGAAGCAGGGAAATGAGTTTTAAGAGCAATGGGACGTTGTTTCCTTCGGAGCGTCACGTGAAGCGACGTCCGTTTGTGATGACACTGCACAGCTGATCGTCTGACAGCAGCCAGATCAGTGCATGCGCTGCATCGTCCAATCAGTGAGCGATACACAGTAAGGGGGCGGGGCAAGTGTATGAGGATTTCACCGGAGGATGGTCTGGTAGTTCCTCGATTATCGCTCCTCTGTTATCGCTCCTCCGTTATCGCTCCTCGGTCCTCCGGCACAAATAAGGCCACTGGGACGGTACTCAAGATGCGCAGACAAATCAACTTCCGGTGATACAGAGACCGAGGAAATGAAAAATAAGAGAAGTGAAAGAAGAAGTGAAGAAGAGAAGTGAAACGCACCCAATGGTGCTCTAGGAGGGGATTCAGGTGATAAGGTGGGGGGGGTTACCTTGGTTGGTTATTGGCTAATGGTTACACAAGCCAAAAAAACATTGTGACAACACAAAGTGACCAAAATCTGATCAGCTCATTTTCAGACAGGTTTTTATATAAATGGATCAGGACAAAAAGAGAGAATCTTTTTTTCCTGAAACTTTCAGAATCTTTTGAGGGGACACATGTTGATGTATAACATACATTAAAAAGTGGATTTTGCACAATAGGTGACCTTTAATGTAGTTAAAACGAAATATGGATCAAAGCATCAGTTAAAAGCTGATCCAACACTGCAATTATGTATACAACCATATATAGACAAAATAATAAGGTACAACCTTGGATTATAATATATATTGTCACGGTCTTTTTTGTATCTGGTATAAACCAATTGATAACATTGTGAGCCAAATGGGAAAAGGTGTCTCAGTTTAAGAGAAGTTATGCTAGCAGATGACAAAATCCATTGGTTCTGTCGCAGCTTGATAACTGTCATTTGATCCATTGCTTCAATGAAAATTAAGAACAAAATATTGTTAGACGCCCTTAGATTCCCTCAGCCAAAACCACCCATATAGTGCAGACTTATATAAATACTGGGGACAATTTTTAAACTACCCAGTCTAGTAAATACTTAAACAACACATACACATCACAGTGGAATAATGCTTAAACTGTAA